ATTAAGGATCTGAATTTTAGTGTGTAAACCAAAAAAGTCAATTCGGAAAATAAGTAATACTGTAAGTAAGCAGATGAAATGAAACAACTGAAATAAATGTAAGAGCGTTGATATGGTAACGAATACCCTTTGAAGCAAAGAGGTTTTAGTAGTCATAACAAACATGTCATACAAATGATTGTTTAAATTCAAACTACTTACAATTAGTAAGTAATATACTACGAAACAAAAAATAGACAATGAAATGGCCAACGAAATTGACATCAACTGATCATCAGTTGTGTCAGCCATATTTCAATTTATTAATCTATCTTATTTTGTCGAACACTGTTATTTAGTTCCCAAAAAAACAAACATTAGAAAATCTTTATTTCTCGAGGTATGTAATAGTTTACAGTTTTCAAAGACTGACTGCATTAATTACATTCTACTAAAAAAGCAAATAAACCATAAAATCGAACTCACTTTATTTTTTGTTTACTAATGAGTAGGTTGTAATCTTAAATTGAAATTCTAAGAGTTCCTAATCGAATAATACTTTACATTACGGACCGATCCTAGGCAAACAATGATGACCAGGAAGCACTAGACAGATATTTCGTTCTAAGGTGGGAATCGTTGACAGTGTACTTTCATAGGTTCTAGTAAGAATCTGTGATCAGCAAGATTCAGTTATATTGTAGCGGTAAATAAATCCCCAAAATAAATAGCTCTGCAAGTTTTCGACATTAGATGCTGACCAGATTAGTCTCAGTGGACTCACCTAGCTGAAGGCGCTCGGTCATGCATCCGCACCAGATCACGAATGGGAACGCCGTGTTCAACTACTACTGCAATCGATAGCCAGATTAGATCAGATAATTCCGATATATTGGCAATCGTCAAATATATCTTCCAATCTCCTCGATTCTGTCTTTTGATTTCTCTTGATGGGTACGAGTTATATTAGAAGGTGTTACTGGTTAAAGCGTTGTCAAGCACTGAATACCTGTGCCATCTTCAGTATAGGACAATGTAAGATGGTCTCACAGTATCGTGAATTAATTGAAACCAGACCTAAACAATAGTGATATAATGTGTAGACGCTCTTTACAAGACAGAACGTCGTAGACTCAGTGAGGTTACCGGTACTCACTTCCAAGGAGTTCCATAATATAATGAAAAAAGCTTTTCAGTACTTCTTGATTTATAATGGTTTTCTAAGATCGGTCAGTAACTTAAAATATGATAACTTAACAATCTCCACAAACTTTCTATATCAACAAAGAAAGAATCATCAATGTCGTAACTTGAAATAAATTTACTTCAGTTTGATTAATCGTGAAGATTAGGCATTACAAGATATATAAGTGTAAGTATATGGTTGTGAAGATTGTTGAGTTCCACTGGAGTCATAAATTAATGAATATTGGACAACTAGTGCTTTCATGTTTTCATTGATGTTCTAACACTGATTGATTCATGATTTAAATGAAGTAGTATATAAGTGTTAGTGTATATTTGAGTAGAATGATTGTCAGGATGACGATCATCATACTGTCGAGAAAATAATTAAAAAAACGGAAATTCGGAATTTTTTTAAGTAAACGAAAATTCGAATTAAGCAAAGAAATTTCGATTCAATTAGTTTTATATCATGACTTTTCTTCTTTCCTCTCCTCTCCTTTCTCTCTCGCTCTCGCTCTATATATGGTGCCACCTATGTTACAGTTTTCTTTTAAGTAAAATCTGGATTTGAGATAATTCGTACACAGAAGAAATTCCGAAAAACATCAGTATCAATTTAATGGTCAGACTATTCTGCATAAACTTGTCTGATTAGTTCAAGTATTTAAAGGTTGACAACAACATATTTATAAATAGATTAACTAAATATATCAAGGTAATTATACATAAGCAATTAGTATTGTATCATCCCTACGTGATTAACCTTCAGACAAATGAATTATTCTGATCTTTCTAGTCATTCTGTATGTGGCGTTGAGCAAACGTGTATAGCAGTACATATATATTTATATGCATACTTGTATCTTTCATTTCCATAAATACTGAATTACATAACTAAAATAAATAAGCGTTTTTTTCGTCACTCTGTAGTGACCTAATTTTACCAAGAGAACGCGATCGATTTAATGGAAACAATTATTATTATAACCGATTGTACCACTGATTTTTTTACTGTGTTCGTTTGTTTAACTGTGCTAAAAACAGCCATATAACTGCTTCATTATCTTTCGATTTTGACCTTGCACGAATTCTGTTACGCTCAGTAACCACACTTGTACCCCTTTGGCACGATCTCGTTATCCTTTCGATACCACGAGATCGCCAACAAATACATCTCGACTACAGCCATCAACTGCCTTCTGATATTTGGCCTACAGGGGATTAAATTGGTTAACTAGCACGTAGTCTTCTTGTAGTGGTGTCAATCGCGACTCGACTCCACGCTAAAACTCTAGTTCATGTTATATCTTCCTTCGTCTCTTATCGTTAGCCAGTATTATCGAATTTCGAAAACATATGTTCCGCAAGTAATTTCTAATTAGACTTTCTATGTATATGATGTTACTGACAGGATTTTTTTGACAGAAAATATACGAAAACAATTAGGATCTATATTTGATTGATACCAATATCCCCCGATAGTTACTAGAGTCAGACAATGGGCCTAAAATACACGAAATTGAATCTAAGCTTATATTCGCCATTTATCAATTGTTTTCAATTTAGTCATTTGACTTGTAGCGGTAAATAAATCCTCAATATAAATAGCTCTGTAAGTTTTCGACATTGGATGCTGACCACATGTTTTAATGGACTCATCTAGCTGAAGGCGCTCGGTCATGCATCCGTACCAGATCACGAGTAAGAACACCGTGTTCAACTACTACTGCAGTCACTCGCCAGATTAGATCAGACGATTCTCGGTATATATTGATAGTCATCAAATATATCTTCCAATCTCCTCGATTCTGTCTTTTGATTATATATTAGGTGTTACTGGTTAAAGCGTTGTCAAACATTGAATACTTGTGGCATCTTCAGACTTTTACTATTGCTTATGATATGACTAATCTTTTTTTAAAAAACAACTTCACAATTAAAAAAAAGCATTTACACACTGTTCACAGGCTGAACACTAGTTTAAACATAAGATTGAACTATTTTTCAGATTATGAGCTCATCATGTGATTTATCAATATGACATTGTCATTTGATATTTTTCAATCAAATATGAAATGACCTTAAAATATAACCGAGCTATATCTACTCTGATAACTATCACATGATTGGTGAAAAATTGATTCATTTCCCATAAATCTTCACTTTGTGTATGACTAACTTAGTAGTGTGTTTGTCTTTCTCTCACCTTGGTGTTAAGATCCTGGATTTTTATTTTTGTGCAAGTTATTATTCATAGGATGAGTTAAACACCGTATCAACCTTCTACAATTTTATCCTTTACTCACTACTTTGTACAGTTTGTGTGTATTTGATTACCACTCATGATTTCCGGGAATGACCAATTGTAAATCTGATCCGAGTTATTAGTCTACATAGGTTACACACATTGTAAGTATAGTAGTTTCCTGGTTATAGTATGCTTAAATATCCTAACAATGATCGCAGTATTTATGTACACTACAACTATTTCATTTTACTGTCATGTAATTTTAAAGCTTCATTTCTATTTGGAACTCAAACACTTCTGATCAAGATATAGTATGTGTATTTTAGAGCAAATACTTCCAATTGGATATTAACACTTTTACATAAAAACCCGACTACAATGTTGTTTGTGCGTTACAGGCGTTGACAACTGAATCCAATGTTGTAGGCTTTAATCTAATTCATACACTTATCATTTTACTATCAATATACATTTTAGGGTTTGGATATTCACTGTTATGTACTTGTACAAATTGTCAAGAGAAAAATGTGCTGTTCAACATACTAAAAAAAATCATGACATTTGGCAGTAAATAGATAATAATCATGAAACTTAATTAAAATCAAACAAAATCACTACACCACTATAGAAATAAATAACTAAGGACAGGACCACAATTTATGAAAGGACCAATCAGACTTAAAGTGGCGAGTTTTGCATTTTGATGTGAAGTTCAACCATTCCTATGGCTAAATAAGAGATGGGATACGTGTCTGTAGACAACTATACTAAGATCGTCCACCGACCTAATAAGTGAATCATCTCTACCCTACACAAGATGAAGCTCTCACAATAATTCAAGAAACCGTAAACAAGATTATGAGCTGTACTCACTTTGTCGGAAATATTAGTTTCGACCCAATAGATTAGAATCTCCCATAACACGGCAGTATTACGTCAGTGAACAGACAATAGTTGCCATGGTGACAGCCTACAACCTGAGGCGCCTCAATTAAAACCAAGAACCGAGCGGCCATTGGTGTGAACTGCAACCATTGACCATACGAGAAAGTTCACAGTTACTACGCCCACCTATGCATTAATACGACCAGAATGTGAACATCACTCACAAGGCTTACTAACTAATCATAATAAAATCTACTTCCCCCACGCTAATAAACACTAGGGATGATAAGTCCACTCCCGCAATCATTTGCATCAATCATACGCACTAGTTGCCAAGTATGTGGTTGTCACTTTACGACATTTCCTCACGTAATTAGTACTTTAATGGAAAAACCGATGTATATACGGCTGTACAGCCTGATGAATCCAGTGAAGAGATCCCTTCACTAAACGCCGTGTTTTTAATAACTAGGTAGACTAGGACAGATTAGCAAGAAAACAAGACAGGCATCTTAGAGTATTATGACTGACACCTTACCCTGTCAAGTTAAAGGAATTCAACGGTCAAGCGCAATATAGTCGGAAAACATCGTTTCGTCCGTATATGCTATGTTCAGTAACAGCTCCAAAAGTGACCATTTTGCGAACAACGAGGTTACTAGAGAACCACCCACAACGACAAATGATAAGAGAACACGAGTGGACATAACTTAGTTTATTAGGACATAATAAGCATAAATCCATATTAAGATGTATAAAAATAAAGTCAAAAATCTAAGTAATAAAGTAACATAATGACAATCATACGTAAACAATAATAAAACAGATGTTTAAAAGGTCAGTACAGAACTAAAGTTGCCTAGGGTACGGGCAGTATCTGATTGTATGGGCATGATCACCGGTCGCATGGCAGTTGGGACATGAGAGTACACGTAACACCGGACACGTCACCCGACCATCTTGATCCCTAACCTGAAAATAACCAATATTGACCACAAATAGTAAACGGTACAATAGTAATGAAAACATTTCTAATGAATAGGTACACGAGGGAAAAAGTATCACTTACTTCATGAGTTATGTATATTTCGGGTAACTCGCCATTGTTCCGGCAAAATGCGCATAGAACATAATCTTCCTCCAACTTTCTGCGAACTGACAGGAATATTTGTTTCAGAGAAGCAGGCATTTCTAACAGGCAAAAAGAGTTAAACCTGCGGACAATGAAGTTTTGTCAAATCACATCCTTACCAAGAGTGAAGTTTTAACGTCTCACGATCCCACTTCTTATTTCTATGGGAAGAACGGGACATTACTCGACGACATCCCGATGCTTTTGATTTACTAGAAAGTATAACAAGAGCTGCCCCAATTGCATCGCGCAGCGGGAAGTCATTCCAGGCACCTAAGTTAGGGAAGAGTAAATAGGGTTCGTCTCAGTTCGATAAAGAAAATATGTCTTAAGGTTAGAGGCGTGATGCCTCGTCCAAATTAGACCCACCTCCATCGATAACCGGATTTGCGGGATTCTTCTCACAGAGAAGAGGGCAATCAACTTTTCTAACCGAAATCGACTGGTTGGTTTTGTTAGTGAATAGAGTCTTGTTTACATCACCGCAAGCGACAGGACTATCTACAAAAATAGAATATCCTATAGTAGCAATTCCAAATAACTAGGAATACAGTATTAAAGTAAAATACTTACGATTGAAAATGCCATCTGATCTCGGTAACTGGGTTCCAGATTGAGTACTGTGTCCACGTCCACATAGTTTCTCAAAAGTCTCCATGCAGTTTGATGAACTACCATACGTACTTAATCTAGCAGTATCAAATTCGCGATCTGAAAACAGATGTGATGGTTAGTACTAAGACTACTAAGTAAACATTTTCGAATGGAAATAGTAGAGGAAGTTAGGAACTTACGTGTTGATTTAGTTGTCTTCGGGTACATGGCATGAGAATCTGGACTACGAACAACAGCCGTAATGTTATCTCCAATATGATATCCGCTACCAGAAAGACGATCTGGAGACTCCGGGCTTATTGATAGCTTGTTCAATCCATCCAAGAGTGGGTCACAAAGGGATGGAATGTAACCGGCTACAACAAATTAGTGTTATTGGTTTCGAATCACAGAAGTAACGAACGAATAAAAATCATGGCGACAAGACTCACCACAACCAACATACGCAACATCTGCATCTAAGACTTCAGACTTCTGCGTAGACCACAGGTCATAGCAAGGTGTCCTGCGGAAGTCCAGCATCACTATCGATATCCAAATTTGCATATCGTAATATATGGTTATACTAACCAATAAGATGGAAGCATACTGAAATATTTTCAAGGGAAAAAGCATGCATTTAAGCCAATTAAAAATAAAAATTAATCCTAAAGTATTTAGCCAATAAGGATTAACGATTAGGGCTGGAATCCTAATACTGAACAATTTTAGTTTGTGGTTGCATGTTGATTGGTCAATTTGGTTTCTGATCCGATCTGATGCCTTGACAACAAACTAGCTTGTTGATGGATTTTTAAAATGACTCAGTTTTACACCACTAAATTGTGATCTGACGCCGTATGATCCATTTTCTTAACAAAGTAATATGTATAGTGGATTCACCTGATAATATAAAAATACCAACTCAAGTATCACATGGAACCAGTTAATTTGATTTTAAGAGCGTAAATTTAAGGTCTACCGAATGAAGTGCATATGATATAAAATCTGATACCTTTGATTGTTCTAATTTTATTTGCATAATGGTGACTAGTAGTTGTCTGTTTCTCACTAAATGCCAGCACCTGCATTTGTTAATGTTTTTGATAGGAATTGGACCCAAAACTTTGTCTCATAAATCACGATGTAGTTAAGCTAGTATGTTTACCCATAATGAGTTTAAAATAAATTCACCAGTTTAGTTTTAATTGACAAATGGGAAATCCGACTAAAATTCTATGTAATCGTTCCATTTTCTTTCCATTGACACCAAACTGACGTGCTTACAAAAAACAGAACAGTCTTCTAGTGTAGAATATCTTACTATGACAAAATTATAAATATATGATATGTAATAAAAGTTATTGACAATTTAAGTAACTCGTACTTCGTAAATTGGCCTCGTAAGGTCACTCGGTGTCAATTATACTTCGGGACCTAAATTTCCTTCGACCTCATTAAATAAAATCTTACAAACCTGTTATGCTCAGCATTTCAGAAGTTTATGTCTAGCTTGGAAATATACTATGCCCTAAAAAGAATGATTGTACGGAGGCAATAAAAAAAATAAATAAGTGAACTAATGAATCGGTAAATACATAGGATGTATTCACAGTGAATAATTAGACCAATCGGTCACAATAAACACTGAAATAGTCTAATAATCGAAACTTAGAATTCACCGAGTACAGTTCCAAACTCATAAAAATTTCGAGATTGTGGAGAAGATTTGTAGCTCAGGGGAGTGATTTTGATGGAGTTTTGTTTTCTGAGCTGGATGGTTTAGTCGTAGAACTTCTTCTACCTGAAGTTTGTGCTGACGATATCGTCCAGAAGAACAATTCGAGCTCCACGACTAAACCATCCAGCTCAGTGAACAAAACTTCATCAAAAACATAAAAATTTCACTCTTTGGTTCTCTGATACATCTTTGTTCGATCATAGGGATTTTCAATTCAAAAAATACAAATAATCAGACTTTTTTGTAAACTGCACGTATAAAATACAGAACCCAATTCTTCAAATAATGAAGTTATCATTTAATGAAATTATTATTTATTGACACAATCGTCAAAATTGTCAATACTATTTCATTTATGGGATGAATGTGTAGTGACCTACATTTATCAAGAGAATGTGATTGATGTCATGGAAACAATTATTATTATAACCAATTGTACCACTGATTGTTTTACCGTACATTGTGTGTTTAACTGTACCAAAATACATACTTTCTTCCGTTGATTGTTACCTTGCACGAATTCGGTTACGCTCAGTAACTACACTTGTAACCTAGCACGATCTCGGTATACTTTCGATACCACGAGATAGCCGACAAATACATATCGACGCCACCCAACAAATGAAAAATTCCCATGATTTCTCATTATTACTTCATCGTAATAAATATTCAATGTTACTCATCGTTATATCTAATATTGACTCGATCATCTTGTGTTTATGAATTAAAATCTAAATTTTGTGAAGACATGAAAATATTAATTTATAAATTTCAAATGTCTTAATTGCAAATTTTACTTTATTTTTTACTTTAAATGATGAAATTCATCAGTAATAGATATTACATTTTAATTTATATTCTGATAATATTCTTCTTAATGCATAATTCTTACTGATTTTGTAAGTAGTACGTTTTTCCCCATTCTTAAATTTAACATAAGCCAATTGGAATATTACCGATTGTACGACATTAAATATTGATATTCAATTTCAGAATAATGATGTAACAATCTTACAATACATCAAGCGGAACGAATAACAATGAATATCTAATTCAGTATGATACAGAGACAATATTTAAATATATTTAATTATTAGATTGATTAACCTAATTATTAACGATTGAATAAAATTCACTGGTTGAAACCATGAGTCAGGTGAAGCTAGACCACCATGGGAAATCTGGAATCACTGGACGGCCGCATCGTCCTGGTATAGGACTCCTCAGCAGTCCGCATCCACGATCTAACACCCGCGGGATTCGAACCCAGAACCTACTGGTTCCTCACGCGAGCACTTAACCATTAGACCACTGAGCAGGCATCCAACGGTGTTAATGTCTAACTTCAACCAATCCACGAAGTTGCGCTACCGTACACCATTGTCTTCAGTGAGTCCCTATCTCACAACAGACCTGGCTGAACTCCACTCGTAACGACTTCTCACTAGAACTCCAGGAGTGTCTCCTGAAGTCAGTCACTAGTGAACAGGTGATTATTATTATCAGAATGGGTTTTGTGGAGATTTTTTAGAAATTTCACTGGTTGAAATCATCAGTCAACATTTAAAATAATCAATGTGCTCATTTCATACTACTAATTATCCTAATTCAGTAGATAGGGAATGCTTCATATTTGTGTGTTAAAAATAATACTTTAGCATTTTAATCCAGAATTAGCTTTCATACATTATTAATAGAATTTAAATACTTTTTTAATTTAAAAATTGCTAGTTAGGATGGGAATGTACTTTACTCAAACTATTGTATTAATTAATTATAGAGTATCATCTTCTGTTCTGTTTAAAGTTATGTTTTTTATTTTATTTGAATACAATGTCATTGTGTGCTCAACTGATCTTAAACAACTCCCTTCATTGATATATATATTTGTTTCTATCAGTTGTAGTATATATATATATATATATATATATATATATGCTTATTGTTCTGAAGTTTATATTGATAATAATAAACATAATAACTTGTTAAAAATCTTGTTTCTACAGGATAGTTCAATGTTTAATTTTTTCTCGATCCTGTTCACTCTTGTTTGAGATTCTATTGTGTTCACTAGTTATGATTAAAATGTTAATAGTCATTGTTTAATTAGTTTACATTTATCCGTGTGTATACTTACTACATACGCAAATAACGATGAATGAAATGGAACGATAAATGTGTTGTTTTATTATTATTATTATTTCCTTATTGTATTGATTCTTTAACAACGTTGAGTTTTTGTTTAGATTTTGTGAAGAAATCGGAAGGGAAAAGGTTATCTTTTTACTCATTTGTCTACATGTGTGTGACAAGCACAGAAGAGTAGAAAACATAATATGGTTCAATAGACGTCAACAGTGTCCTGGATTTTGATATCATTAACACATCTGACTAGATTCAAACCAAGTTGTAACTGATTAGTGTTTGTGTATATCTGTGTTTTATACCACATGAAATCAAACAATTTAATTTGTTTCATTTCTCAAACCATTAAAAATAATTAATCACAAAGCATTGATGAATGATTCAGTATAAATATGTATGCGTTTCTTTCTGTTTGAAGTTTTTTTAATGAGTAAAATATGACAAAACTAGTTAAAACATGTACCGCATTTACTACACATTTTAAAATATTTCTTGATTCTCCCAAATCCAAATATCAACATCACATAACAACACATTTAAAAGCTACGAGAGAAAAACTGACGATAGCTACAATTCCAACGATCAATTTTTTTAAGACATATATTGGGATACCTGACGTTAATAAATTGTCTTTATGGATGATATCAGTAATACAAATATCTGATAAATATGATTAGATCACAGACACACACAACTCAATGTAGTACAAATGGAATTACTTGGTAGCATACAGCTGAAAAACAGCGCACAATATGCAAATTAAACTTGTAGTGCTCTCATAATAAAACCGTGATATAAACAAATACTGACATTGTAGGTATCAATTCCAAGGTTGAACATGATAGATTTTCAGCCATCATTTACTAAATATAAGCTAGTGAATTCAGTCAGCTAAGTAAATTATTGATAATCGAAGATGCATACCTAAGCAACTTTGTATGAGATAATTGAACGAGTAGTTTAAATAAATTCCATTGTATTTTAGTAACCTAGTATAAATGGGCATATTGACAGACACAAAACTCTCATCTGATTAGATTGGGTTAATTGGAGAATATCTGAATTCTAGTTCATGAACTAATTGTGCCAGATACAAACGTGATTGAATGTAGTTTTAGATATCATACATGTCAAGTCAATGAAATACACTTATTATGATTCTGTACTCAAACATTAAACGACCGAAACGGATGACCATAATAGCTGATCGTTGCACACTAATGGAGTATTGCGAATTCTGCAAGTAACTACTTGAGAAGTGTCTAGATTTTTGTTCACGTGAACTCTGATTATATTTCGGTGATTTAGCAGTGTGAGCTACGCAAAATTGATCGTTTTATACTTCTTTACAGAAAAAAACTGTCATGATCGGTGTTCGATTGTCTGTTATAAATTTTCTGATTAGTAATTCTCTGAACAGTGCATAACGCGGTAAAATGGAATTCCTATATCGTTTACGATACGAATTTTATTGTATTACTATATGACTATTAGGTTAAAGTGTTGCTGTGTAACCCTTTCCAAATTTTATTCACTATTACATATCTCCTTTTTCTAGACTACAACAAATATATTCCAATACAACAATGAGGAGGTTGAGTTCTATCGAAATTTATAAAGGGGACTAATTGCTATAAATATATTTCAGGGAACAGTAAATTAATCGCTAAGTCCATCATATGTGTTATTACTAAATCAGAACTCATTTTTATAAATTTATTTTTAATATAAACATCAAAGACTCAAATAACAAATTTAGATTCTTGTACTTCAAGAACACTAATTATGAGGGCTAGTGATACTACCCGATTGTCCAAACTTAAAGAGATATATCGAAGTTTGAACA